TTATAAAGGGTGAATTATTAATAAATAAAATATCTGCTTGATCTGTTTTGAGTACCATCTTATTTTTTCTCCTCTCCAGCTCTTTGATGTTTTATCATCCTGCAGGTCTCCTCCATATTACAGCGATCTCTATATGTGGTTGAATATCAGACAGTCACTCTTCCTCTGTTGCTTTTGTAGAACATCTTGTTTCTTTCTCACATTTCAATTCTCAATCAAACGGACATTTCTACTTCCAATCTTGAATGGGTGTCAGGTAAGTTAGCATAAAACGGTAAAGCTTTTGTATTTTAATCTTTTAAATCCTTTTTATTTGTTTTTGGGGCTTTTCTTAAAGTCTCTTTCTTTCTGTCGAACCATAAACACTGCCCTTGGCTCAGACACTGGGGGCCTGCAGTGCTTCAGATGTTGTTCTGGGTTATTTTGTGACTGTGGATGAGTCGTCAGTGTGGCCCAGAGGAATATATCTGTAAAACAGCCACAAGTGGGAAAGTTTTCCATTCTGTGTTTCCTCCATTTATTGATCCCACTGTGATTTACTGGAGTCACGAAAGCCTGACAGACACAGACTGATGTTCAGACCAATAACAAAAATTGTTACAATTTCCGGTAAGCTTCATAGCGACACACTGGAATCACATATGCAAACAGCCAAATGTTAGAATTTGGCAGAAAATTTAAAATGTTAATAATCCACGACTCCACGAAGCATAGTAAAAGAAGCTAGTTTTTACTCAGCTATTTTGTACTCAAGTATTTCAACCTTTCTAAAATATGCAACATTTAAAAAAAATAAAACGTCTTTCAAGTTTGACAAAAGGCTGTAATTTGATGTGACACAAATAGACTTTTAACGTCGGCTGGGAATATAACCGTTTCAGTCAAAAGCCCAATTCCCCATTTTCTTCTTACTTTCGTCAATACCAACAGGATAGCCATCGTCTTTGAATAATCTTTATTGGCCAGAGAGTGGGAGCTTGGTGTTGGCAGTAAGTGTTTGCTGTCTCTGTTGATTGACTTCTTTTGGCCGTGATGTTCAAATCTGAGTTGCACCAGGACAAAAAGAAAAGAAAGGTCTGAAGTTAGTCTGCTGATTACGGCTCTAAACTGTTTTTTTTCCTTAAAGTGAAAGGAACCCGATCACATTACAAAGACTGATTTAATCTTTCTCTGCAGCCACTGCAATCAGGGGAAATGGGTGTAATCCCATTCTGGCATGTTTGATTTATATCACTGACCTGATTTGTATTGTGCTCACTGGGCGTGTCCTGGTGTTTATGTAATATCGACACCCCACTTATATATAATCTCTCACTGCGGTTGCACAGATGCGAACAGTGTTTTTTCCTTTTCCTTCGTTTCGGTGGCTCTGTAAACCTCAGCTAGCGTTTGTTTTTGGATTTAAGTGCTTTCCACAATAGAGCCGTCACATTTGATTGATTTCAGTTTGACTGGGCCCCTCACAGTGTCTTTGTCCTGGCTCTAAAATTAGATGTTCGAACTTGTGCTGCTCATTTATGCAATTTCCTATTCAGGTCGAAGTGAGAGGAAGTCAGGTATTTTACCCAAATGAACTCCAACCCAGAACTTGAAATCCATTTGGGAGTCCAACACGTACGCGTGAAACGGTCCGGGCTGTAATTTCAAGCTTTAGATTTTCCAATTCCAGCTGCTAAAGGTCAGGGATTCTTTGAGTAAAACTAGATTTAGATTTTATATACTCAGACACCGTGCTTAATAATTTATCCTATAATCACACTGGTGTCTGCTTTTGAAGGCGGAACTCATTGATGGATGCTCTTTCTCAGTTATAATAATAATAATAATAATAATAAATAATAATAATAATAATAATAATAAAAATCTCAGCTTTCACATCTTCCATAAAATTGAAGATTTAATATCTGACCATCAAAAATTAAATGAAACTCAAATTCACCCTCATGAAATACAGGAAAATACCTTCATCTAATTTTTTTTCATAAAAATCTATGCTTTTTACAGTCATGTTGATTGGAATTTATTTATTTTTTATTATTATTGGTTTGGGATGGAGGAAACCCTGGAGGGTTTTCGTCCTCTCGTCACTCTGGACATGAAAGCATGCACTGCTGATGAATGTGTTTGCTGAATCTGTTCCCATTTGTTAAAATATAGAGATCATCCTGAATTTGTGTTGAAAGTTATTTCATTCATATTTGTTGGCAATTAATGGGCTCCACTTCAGGTGAAAATGTGGTCAAGACAGGTTGGAGGCATAAACTCGTATTCAGGCTAAAACTTTCAACAAAAGGTTGAACTCTGCAGCTCAAATCCTCTCGATTTCCAAATATATTTTCATCTGGCGATAAATCCATCAGACTGAATGAAAATGCTTCAGCATCTTTCTAAAAGTCACTTGTCCAGAGTTCAGTTCGCAAAATCCAACAAATCGCCCTGAAAGGTAACTTCTTTCAACAGTCTTTTATTGTTGTTACGTCAAATGTTCTTCTGCATGACACGACACAAAATTTAGTTTTCAAGCTCCCAGGCAAAAACGACACACGCTAGACTAGCAGCCATAAATACATAAAACTAAAGACAAAAGGGGACTAATGATGACAACTAACAGAAGACAGTGTGAACTGTGTAAATGAACAGTTATTGAGCCAATTTGCTTGTGTTGGAGGCTACATTTGAGCTGCGGCTAACACTCTCTCTGCCTTGGGGAACAAGCTGCTCCAAACCTGATGCTCCGCAGCCTCCTGCCAGAGGAGAAGGGAATGAACATTTTGTTTCTTGGATAATTATTTTTTCTTTCTGTAAACTCCTGACTTTGAGATAGTTAATTACAATTGTATAAGTGCTAAAAGGAAAATGCACTTCTGGCTCCCTGCTCCCCGGGGTCAGCTGTGGTTGCAGTCCAGCAGCTCACTGCCGTCGGTGTGTGAATGTGTGTGCGTGTGTGTGTGTGAATGTGTGTGCGTGTGTGTGTGTGGGTGTGTGTGGGTGTGTGTGTGTGTGTGTGTGTGTGTGTGTGTATGCGTGTGTGTGTGTGTGTGCATGCGTGAATGACTGAATGTATTGTGAAATGCTCAAGAAACCGATTGATATAATTTGTTAGTAAGCAGATGAAAACTGCATTGATTTAATAAATAACATAATATTTAAGCACACTTAGTGTTTCGTCTAGAATCTAGAGGGCCACATAAAAGTCTAAGGCGGGCCGGATTTGGCCCACACGCCTCACGTGATTTAGAGTAACCAGGTAACCTACTAATCGTGTTTTTGGATTGAAACACTTGCCAAATAATTTGTGCCAATAACAAATCATTTTTGCTTCATTATCGATTGTGTGGTGTTTTTATGATGCAAAGCACTTTGATTCAGCCATGTTGAGGAAATATGTCGTACAAATAAACATGATTTGACTTTCTAACAGTGTAGTTATTGGAGCAGAATAAGTAATTATGTCCATGATGTTGCTCTATAATGTGACTTGATCGAGTTCCACACTAAAATCAGTCCTTACTGCTGTTTGCTCAGAGTCCAGCCACAAGACATTCCCTGATTGACTATTCTCTGCTGGTTTCGTCCCGGTGCCTCCAGCTGCTTGTGTTTTCCTTTATATGTAAATGTACAGCAGGTAGAAGTGATATTTTCATAGAAATTTCAGGATCAGTCACACACAACATAGCTGCGCATACATAACTGATGTGTGTGCCGCTAATACATAGTGCATCAGTTCAAAATGTATTACCTTCTTCACCAAAACAAACAAATAAATCAAAGTAATTTTTGAGGTGCTGTGACCCGACATTCTTCATAATCAGTCAATCATATGTCTGCAAATTTAAACATTTACGCAGCTTATTTGTTTTTTACTCCAGGATGATACTGACATGTTTTATTTTTATTCTGTGTTTACTCAGTTTTTGTAATAAAATAAATAAATAAAATAGCAGCAGTGTAAATGTTGCTTGATACATCTGAAAATTTAATTTTTGCAAAGTTAGATGTATTTTTCCTGTTGCATTTTTCTTCAGTTTTTGACCCTTTTTTTAATCCAAATTGAATGTTTCAGATCAGCAAACCAATTTTATTATCAGACAAAGAAAACCAGAGTTAATATGATCAACGTTTCTTAAAATATGACTCCATTTACTCAACAATGAACACTTTCCAAATCTGGTGTCGCTTCAGGAATGAGGATATGAGGACGTGAACAAAACCATCCAGTCCATTTCAGACATTACAAACACCACAGCCAAATGGCAGCGATTTTGTAAAATCAGATCCAATCGTTTCAAACTTCAGAGTCCACGCTTCCAGCAATCAATCGTTTCTCAGTTACCAAGGGTCCAAACCCTCTGAGACTGCTTTTTCACCAGTCTAATACGAAAAGTGAAAACACACACATCAAAAAAAGTTTTATTTTGTTTCATTGGTTCATAAAATGTTTTCTAGACGATCATGACAATTTTTTTTTGAGTAAAAATGCTTTAAATTTGGGGCTTTAGCCAATGTGTTGTTTTTGCTCTGAAGTGTTTCTTTTCTTGGAAGTCCCCCTTTTTATCTAATCCCTTTGACTCATGAACTTTGACCTTGACTGAGGCAAGTGAGGCCTGCAGTGCTTCAGATCTTCCTCTGACTTCCTGGATGAATTATTGATGCACCCTGGAGTCATTTTAGTTGGTCAACAACAAAAACTTACTCATGATCATATAGCCTCTCACAGACTGACAGACGTCACTTAGTTTGTGCCTCATGTGATCTTTTCTTTGTGAAAATGAACCCATCTTTCCTCAGACGAGACATTAAAGTGTACGAGAAACAAAAATGTTTGGCGTCTTCAAAAAGCTCATTTCCAAAAATCCGATCAATCTCTTTAACCTGAACCAGATGCGGTTTTTCACTCTTCTGAAATGTGTTATCTCCATCGTATTTTTCTTTTTCTGCAACAAACTTGACAAAACCATCCGTCAGTGTGCTGAGGAAATGCTGGAAAAACGCAATATGTATCAATTCTTTGCCGACAGAATTTATTTTTTATGGATTCACAAAAAGAAATTTGACACAAAAAAGTTTCTTTTTCTTAAACCATGTACAGTTTGGTGACTTCTTGACAAATGCTTAAAGTTTAAAGTAGGAATTAAACATATCAAAAATGACACCATGTTAAGTTTCAAGCCATGTGCACCGGAAATAATAATCTGCCCCTTCACCCACCTGCCATTAACATTTTAATGTTTAATACTTTATTTAATATAGTTACAATGTACACGCCACATTCAAACACAAAATGTTTTCTGTCTCTTTTTTTTTTTTTGTGGTAATCCTCGCTGGCTCAATTCTCCTAGCACATTATAAAACAACATCTCGCTTCTGTAAATAAATATGATCCCTGACTCAAACTCCAGACAGAATAACATAAATACATAGAAATGAGCTATTGGTGTTCTTTACATCACAATGTACAGGTCAGATGTTATTTAAGTGGATATAAAACCTTCACTTGACATTTTTTTCATCGAATTTAACACCTTTACTCGGTGATGCATTCTGCTAAACATGATCCAGCAGAAAACGAAAAAAAAAAGTACGGGTGCATAGAAAATGGCTGTGCAATTGTAGCAGTTGAGAGTTACATTCACTTCAATAAGATACATCAAATACATTTTCATAAAGGAAAGTCTTTTTTCAATTTTTAGCAGTGGTGGTGAATCTTTCACTGATTGGGCACACAGAAATTCATAAATATAATATGAGCACTATATGGACTACGTGAAAATCAAATTATATACGAGCGACAACAAAACGCTTTAAATTTACTTATTTTTTCCATTAAGAGCAAAAATGCTTGTAAAAACGGATAGACTGTTGCCATTTGTATAAAAAAAAAAAGCATAAAGCTTGAAAAATTGTCAATGCAGAACCCAACTGATGCAAAATGTTTATTACATTTATAGAACTGTCATTTATTTTTTTTGGCATCGATTATTTTAATCACAGTCATTTCAACACAATCACAGAGTCTTTTGGAAAATGAAAGCCCCCATCTTCAGTGCGGCTTCCTCGGCCTTGACGCGCTTTTACTACTGGCATTAAGTGCAACAATTCATTTGCCTCGAGTGAATACCTCAGTCTGGCTGTTCTCATAACATCTGAGAAAATAAGAGCCGCGCTTGCTGCGCTCTTAAAGCCGTCGTGTACCATGAGTCAGCGTCCGCCGCTGCAAACAAACCTCTAACCCCATCGGTCCTCATGATGACGGCAGTGAAGGTTTGATGTTGTAAAAACATGCTGCGCAGTCACGCTCACTTCAGATCGTTAAATCATTCTTACTGTCTTTCATAAGCAATAAATATTACATTGAACATGGTATGCTTATCTTTTGATTCCTTTTAGAAGTGACCTAAATGTTTTTTTTTTTGCATATTTTTTCCCTTTAGGTTACCATCGGTGCACAATCTTTAGAAAGCTGAGAGTTTTGTGCTAAACAGACACAAAAAAATGTCGTCTTTAGACACAAGTTTCGTCTCCCTCCTGTGGGTACAAGCGGTGCTGCGCCCGATCCTCCAGGCTGATGTCCTCTGTGGTGGTGCTGCCCCTGCTGGTGGCGCCTCTCCGAGGTGGGAAAGTGAACTGCAGGTCTTGTTGATTTTTGGCAGATCGGGCTTTGCCCGTCCCGTTGCTGTAGGAGACCACCAGCCTGCGGTTTTCCTCGGGCGCCGCTGAGCGGGACGGGTGGCAGTTGGTCTTGTTGGCGCGCGGCGAGTCATTGCTCGGGTCGCTGGCGTTGTTGTCCTGAAGGTCGGTCAGGTTCCCCGTGGCGATGCTGCCGCTCTTGACGTGCGGCGTCTGGCTGTGGGTGTGGCGGTATTCCTCGTCAATGTCTTTCCCCAGCTTCCACCGCTTCCACTTTTTCAGCATCTCGGACTGGACCTGAGAGGCGATTGGAGTGGAGAAGCACAAAGGAGTACAGACAACACGGAGCACTTCGTTAGATGAAGAACAAATCTAAGCAAAGGCTTAGATTTGTAGATGGCTATTGTTGCTGCACAACTTCTATTCAAGATCAAAATGAAATAGCTTTTAGCTTTAGAAAAGAAACAATAAGTGTTTGAACCAAGAACTTTGGCAACATAAAAAATGCTTCCTCTCTACAAATACCAAGCACTGCAACAATCGCAAAGATCAAATTAGAGCGTTGCTGGCATGAAAGCAAAAGTGCCTCACCTCTTTATTGACGAAGCAATACAGTATGGCCACCAGCAGGCCCTGCAATGAAAGTTGGACATTTAATCCGAACAATATAGACAATTTTCAATGATTTTAAACAAATAGCTAAAACATGCAACATTCCTGCTTTCTCAATCTGCTGCTATGAGTAGTTTTTAGTTGTTCCTCAGAACTTCATTCAACCAACCATGGGAAGTAAGTCATAGCGATGGCATGATTAAATCACGCTATTCGTGACTCAATCAGCTGTGGGACATCAGTTGAGGAACGTTGGATCCTAAACAGCCGGAGCGTTTTCATGTCATACAAGCATAACAACACTGTGCCAAGTGGTTGTGTAACAAACTGGACCAGAGTGGAAGCAGATTTAAACATCACTTTTCAGCTCTTTGAAGTTTATTGAAGTATTAGACTGGTTCAAGGGTTGAATTATTATTTTTTACCTGAATAAATCAAATGAAAGCTGGAAATGTGAGTTTAAAAAGTACAACTACAGGTGCAAATTTATAGCTAGAGTGGCAAAGTGAGAAGTTTTTTCCAACTTTAAATACATTTTGCAATAAAAAGTGGAAGACTGTCTCCCAAGTTGCTCGGAAAGACTACAAAGACACACGCTTCTTATTGAATTTAATGTCACCCAGAAGTTTAATATCTTTTAGCAATTTATTTAAAAAAAATTGAGACTCAGTTAATAGATTCACTGCAAAGAGCCACATCTTTTATATGTTTATTTATTTGATTTAGATGAACATGGCTTCCACGAAAACTCAAATGTTTTTTTTGAAAAATAAAATTTCACACAAGAGAATTTCAATATAGAAATGTTCTGAACACTGGCTGAGCTGTTCAGGAAACCTATGCTTCTGTAACAGCAGCTATCAGCACAACTGCATCACTGGGTCTGATGCCTCCCTCTTGACGATACTCCATTGATTCTCTATGGGGATTAAATCAAGGCTGTTTGTTGACCAACCAGGCACAATGAAACCATGATCATTAAAACAAATATTGGTACTTTTGGAAGGTTGAGTAGGTCCAAGTCCTGTTGGTAAACGATTTAAGCATCTCCATTAAGATTGTCAGCTCGAGGAATTATGAAATTCTCCAAAATTTCCTTGAAGACATCTGCAGTGATTTTGGTTCATTCGGTTCTGTGTCTCCCTAGTCCTTTTCGTCCAGTGAGACCTGAACACTATGAATGCAACGGTCGCGGCTCACGTCCTGGATACGTCTGTCTGCAGTGGCTCTGTAAGCTCTGAGTCAAGCTGCAGTCCATGCCTTCTACATCTACGTCAAACTCTCCAAGGCGTTTGTTTTGAAATCACCTCGAGGCTGCAGCTCTCTCCTGCTGCTTGTGCACCTTTTCCTACCACATTATTCTATCAACTCTACTCTCCGTTAAAATGCTTGGCTGCAACAGCCTGTGAATCGCCGTCTTCTTTAATCTTATTTACTTTTTGTGGTTTACCTTCCACAAGACAGCTTTTATGTTACGCAAGTGGTTAGCAAAGCAATCATGTCATGTCATATTTGCATTTTTAGAGCTGCAGACTCTATTGTTTATCATCAATGAGTTTCATTATTTTTAATCAAACTGCTGAAATAAATAGGGCAACTAATTGCATTTATTGAGATGCACTTATTAATGAAAAATAATTGAATGTGAAACCACATATGCGTGTTTATTTGAATGGCTGGCTTTTGAAGGCACAGATAAAGCAAAGAAAAAAACTCGCTTGTTATTCTTCTAAAAGGGTATACACAATTAAAACATAGGATTCATAACCCTAACATATCGCAAAAGGAAAGGTTGTGAGTTCAGACCTGGAAGGAGTTGAACAGGAGATCACAGAAGAGGCGGATGAGGCGAAGCATGGAGCCCTTCGGGACAGACTCATCAATGACGAAGGTGAAGAGGATGGCGTGAATGCCGAGCAGCGGGATGAGAGTCAGTGTGGATTTCGCCAGCCTGATGAGGGCACGATGAGGGGAAAGACCAGAAAAAACAGTGACTTAGAAAACCAGTAAAGACTGGTTTTCCAAGGTAAACTCTTATTTAAAATTCAACCACTTCAGCAGACTTCCTCTGCAGGATATTAGGTGTATAATGAAGATTGCAGAGAAAAGCTTTTCAAAAAAGAAAGTGAAAAATACAATAATGGTGGATTAATGAAGGTGCATTTGCAATGCTATCTTATGTTTAATTAAATTTATGTAACAAAATGATCATTGTTCACCAATACCAGGCAGTTGGGATTGTTTTATTATGTATCACAAAACATAGACCCAATGAATTATTCTGAATATATCATCTAAAATATATTAGAACAGTTACTTTCTCTGTAGAAATGCTGAAAAGCATCTTCACTTCCTTTCATTAAATATTTCCACCAAGGTTGGCTGATTCATAAAAGGTCAAATTTGTCTAAAGGAGCTTTTTTGGGGTGGATTTTTACCTGTTTTCGTCAGTTTTGGTGCTGGAAATGTAACTTTAAGATTTACCGTCTTTTTAAAATTCTTCAGGCCATCGGCTTGAAGAATTTAATGACTCATTTTCAATAAATGGGCATGATCTCACCTGAATTTGTAGTCAGTGTATCTCATCTGATGAGCTCTAAGTTTAGACATCAGGATTTTAATTATTCGGATGAAGATGAAGAAGTTAATCTGAAATATGACGAGAGTCACAGAAAAACAATTTAGAAACCGGGTAAAGAGACGTATGGAAAAACAAGGCTGACATTTTGAAGCTGCAGCAGATATTTTTGTAAAGGTTCTGCACATAAAAATGCATCACTTTGTTATGAGAATTTCCTTCTTCTCCTCCTGATGGGGCGGGAATATAATTTGGTTATTTGCCTCCAAATTAAAAGAGACCTACGCATGGTGACCAAGTTTATGTCCAATTCTGAAGATGCAGATTCAGAAAATGTCTTTAGACTCTTCATAATACAGCACTCAAGGTTTTGGAGTTCTATTTTGCCAACATTTATCTTGCATGGAATCAGCAGTAAATCAGCAGAGGTTCTGATAAACTACTACATAAACAAACATCCACATGCGAAAGTCTTGAACAACATTCATGACCATAATTATTTTACATTCATTTGCTGATGCTTTCCTGATAAGGTGAGTTGTTTATAAAGTGCTGGTGAATGTTTCTGGTCATGTTGTGTTTGCACGGCGAGTGCTAGCATCTCATTTCTTGACTCCTGCTGTGAGTTTATGCATATTGAGGCACAAATTTAATATCAGAAAACCAACAGGTGTCAACAGTACTAATCTAAAAATACAGCAGTCAGCCTTTCCGCTGGTTTTCAGCATTATCCTGTAAATAGGGCTGTAACGCACATACCTGCACTAAATCTAAATGGAAGGATGACTCATCATGTGGCACAGAAGAGGGTCTTGTTATTGCAAACATCAACAAGAGATTGTTTGGTGACAAAAACAACGTTCTTTTTAATAAGCAAAGTGGATGAGGATTTTTCAGCAACTTCAAAGAAGAAGGAGTGAGATTATTTTCTTTTCTGGAGAGTTGGGTGAAATTTGTGAACATGAACAGGTGGGAGGATCATTAGCTTTCACTCCACCTCTCTCTGATGTCTGAATGTAAGTGACATCACCTACAAGGGTAAGGACAACCGAAAAGGTGTCATTTTGGTGACTTTCAAAGCCCTGTGATTTTGATAAGCTGCTTTACTGAAATCCAAAGTTTCTTTAAGCACAGCTTTGCCTCTCAGACCTCTGATCACTCGGTACGCTGATGTTTGTGTTCCCCCTGCACCGTTACCTAGTGTTCTTGTATGTAAGGATTAACCTGGGGCCACATTGTCTTAGCACAACGCATCAGGAGGCACAGGCTGTTTCATAAAATAAAAATAGAATGAATAATATTACTAACGCAACAGCTTTTAATTTGAGGACACCATGATTTAGAAAACAACTTTGAATGAAATGAGCTGAAAAATGCTGCTATTTTGGAAACTGCTGCAGGATTCAGAGTAGAACGACACAAGGATCTCTCTAGTTACAGACCACATTACTGTTCATACAACCTCTATTAAAGTTTTAGTTTTGAAATACTAAATTCATCAATTGTTCACATGTAAACTGGTAAAGGAGCAGAGGTACAACATAAAAAGAACCAGAGTGACACAGAAACTCACCAGATAAGCAAACAATATGGGAGAACGGATTATCCACCAATACCCCATGTTAATATTCCTCTCCCAGCACCTAAAACACACACACACACACACACACACACACACACACACACACACACACACACACACACACACACACACACACACACACACACACACACACACACACACACACACACACAACAAATATAACACACTGCAACTTAATGAGATTCTGCAAATGTTTTTTTTTTATTCTCTACAATATGAATAACCATCTGCCACTAAAAGCTTCAACATTGAAATCTCTTTCACATTTTATGTACTTACTCTATGTTCTCATACAGATATTTCACTGTGATCCACGGCAACACAAATATGAGAGGTGCACCTGAAAACAAGAACAAGGTCACAAATGATCCGACTCAATCAAAGCAGCCGTTCTGGTCATGAACAGACGCAACATTTATTTATTCTCTCTCCAACAGTTTTATTGAGTCGCTATGCAGCTTTAGACTGGTTCATTGTCTGAAAAAAATTAAATAAAATTCAAAGTTTTCATCCAGCATTAAAGATCTCTAATATGGAAAAGGTATCTATGGGGATCTGCAGCTGTTCCAGTTAACAGACGCCTCAGGATACAGAACAATCACTCATTTGCATCATGTCAGCCAAACAGATCATTTAGCTGATTTCCACTTGGTGTTGGACCAATCTTTCATTTCAGCTGTTGCATTAAACCAATAAAATGGAGCGTTATTGTGTCGTACTGCAAATCTCGCAGTGAAACTCACAATATTTCACCAGCTGGGGGAGTTTACCAATAATTAATGCACTAATTAACAAATTAAAGGAGTAAGTTGTGTCACTGGATTAGAAATGTAATTCTAAGTGTACTTTCTGAGGACGTTTCTGTCACATCGCTGTGAAAAGAGCCGACCCTGCTCTAGTTTATGTGGGCGTGTTGAAATGTGAACATTTGGGGTGTAAAAATTCATCTTCTAACTCATTTGTTTGACCTGTCGCTAACTTACCAATGAAATAAACATCTTGGAATTGTATTAAGCTCTGCTTTTGTCTTCTGGAGTTCTTATTCTGCTTTCAGTTCTGAGCGTTGCTCTTCGCGTTGCTTTTTTCTTTTTACATTTTGCAGATATTATAAGAGTGAGCATGAAATGATCTCAGACATCTGTCAGCAAAGACGTTCCCTCGCTTCACAACAACTCCTGCATTGTTTTTGTTTTCTTCTTTCGTATAAGGTATGAAGGTATAAATGGTTTGCAAGAGGAGCAGATATACCTTTGTGTCAGAAACATGTTTTTATGTCTGTTCCAAAAGCTTTGAGAAAAAAAAAAAAACACTTTCTGTCTTGTTTTTGCAGGGATGAAGTGAATTATTTATGGGATCTTGTGAGTTTTGGGTGTTTTTACAATAGAAAAAAAACAACAAAAAAAAACAAGAGGGATTATTCACTTGATACCAAGATGTTTAAAATCTTAGTTGATATTTTGATTTGGTTTCACTGCTGCTGCGTTTGATCACAAAGACATTTAGTCTAATAAGGGGCTTAAAAGTATATAGATGTCAGTTTTCCTTCATATCTTCTTTGACTAAAAGTCCTGTTTGTTTGTTGTTTCTTTCCCATGTCATGATAAAGGACTTCTGTCAATAAACTCATCTTGCAGCATATCATAGAGGACCTTCTATAAAATATTGACATAGGCACCAAAACAATTTATTCATATCAAAAAACGGATTAGCCAGAATTAACATGTAATGTTAAGGCGGTGATATTATGTATTTTCGAAGCACATAATGCCATTTTATAGCACAATCAAGTAACTGTGTTACGTGGTTGTTATTTAAAGGGTGTTTTTATCAAACATAACTTAAAAGAATTTCAAATTTGCTATTTGGTGCCTTGAAATTGACCTCTGCTGCTTTAAGAAGCTCCTGCTCTTCCCGACACTTCATCAGTGCAGCGCTACTCCATCATGTCCTTTACAACCCGTAAAGTGGACTGAGACGTAGTCACGTGATGGGCTCAGCAGTTTCTCCAGGTGCTTGCTAATTGCTGCTGCCGCTAGTTTGGAGGAGCTGAGTGATTGAAGATTTCCTCAAACATGCATAAAAAAATCAATGTCAAACCCAGGTAAGTTTTTCATGAGGAAACAGCAATATAACATGATGTAAAGCTAAAGAAAGGTTTATTGTAAACTGTAGCCTCTCTTCAATTAAACGTAAGCCAAAGAGTAATAGTGATGAGCTAAAACAAACATGTTGGAGAGCTAATTATGAGCAGGACAGAGCTGGAGGATGATTGCCATTAATTACACTGAAGTACACATTACCAGGTGGAATTATGTGAAAAAGAATCAAAGGTGTAAAGACATGGTCAATATTTCCATTTCAAAATATGTAATTTTATTCACTTCAAATATGTCGTCTAGAGACTGAGTCGCGTCTTGAGTGAACTACTTCTAACACTCAAGCGACTAATATTACAATACCTCCTCCTCACATCATGAGTTTAATGCCGATTCTTGAAGGTAAACAGTCTATCGTCCCAATGCTAGTCCAGGACCTGTGTGTAAATGTTGTTATATTCATAAGAATCTGCATCAAACCATTTATTGGAGGAGTTTTCAAATCCAGGCCTTGAGGCCTGGCGTCCTCCATCTATTAGACACAATACACCTGAATTAAATGGCAGAGTTGCCTCCTCAATACGCAGTCAAGTTCTCCAAACTCCTGCTAAGGGCCTTATTTATTCACTCAGATATGCTGAATCAGAGAAGTTGCAGGACTCCAGGCCTGAAGACCACTGGTCTCTGGAATAACCTGCACACTGCATGAACAGTGCACCATAGTTACAGTTTGACTGGTGAATGATTGATTTATAGAGGTATCTTGGTAAAAGTTATGAAGCATGAGCTGTTGCTGGGTTCATTTTAAAACACATTAACAGAGTTGGAAAACCCCAAAAAGATCCACTGAACTCCTGGCTGTTCTAGTGCCGGGGGCCGATTTATCAATGCATTCGCTAAGAGAACTTCAAATCCTGTAATTGATCCAGAATAGATCATAAAACATTCATTTCTGCCTGAACATTATCCTAATAACTTTGTAACAATACAAAATGCAAAGTCTCCGTGTCTGTCAGAATTTGTGTTGTGTAAACGTGTCTGTGTCACAGTTTGGGTTCTGACCCCAGCCGATGGCCAAGTAGATGTAGAAGTATTTCTTCTCGCTGAAAACAGTGATGACGAGGAGGCTGTGCAGATAGATGCCCTCCACCAGCAGCCAGTAGTTGTTGGCCATCACGCTGTACTGCATCATCACCATGGCGCCTCGGCACCACATCACGGCCTGAAACACGACACGGCCACACGTGAAAGAGAGGCCGAAAAAAGAAGCTGGGACGCTCTTATGTTTCACGACACTGTGAGTAATCCATCAACATTCAAAACCTCTGCATGCAAATGTTAATTTTAACTTGAGATAAAAATATTGGCTATTCAAGTTCAGAATAGCAGATACGTCGAAGTGGACGTTAGCGTTTTAGTTAAAAACTGCTGTATGTTGCTTTGACCACTTTCCTGATAAAACTACAGAGGACCTAAACAATGGGAAACGTGTTCTGGTGTCATCACCAGAGCGAAAGCGTCAGGTATGGAGTTTAATTGGGCCAAAGCCAGGACTGCCATTGGAGGTCAAAGAATCACCTGATTTAATTTGAACACAAAGCAATAAAACAGGGCATCAAAAGTTCCCCGGTGTTTTCCCTTAAATAGAGAACAAAAGCTAAGATTGCTCTTTCAAAACAGGTTCGTTTGACACACCTGATGATATGTTCCTGTTTTGATTAAGTTATCTTCAGATTCAACTGTTTTGTTTGAAACGAACCAAATATTTACTAAAGTCCAGGTAAAGAAAAACTGGGTAAAACTTTATTTGATGGGTTATGAATAAGACTGTCATGACAAAGTCACAAACATGTCATGAACTTGAGTAAGTCTTCACAAATATTAATGACTGATTAAACTTTGGCTTTTATAACATGAAGCTACATAATCAGTAATACTTTTAGAACAAATTTATGGGTCATGTCAAGTTGTCATACCAAAGACATTTTGAATAATGTCAACTTTGTGTTAAAAGTGTCATGATTTACTGAATTACACGTCATGACAACAGTCATAAATATTCATAAAGACTCACTTATGTTCGTTCACCACAGGTGTTATGTCACGTTTATGACGGTGTCATGACAGTCTTATTCACAACCCGTCAAATAAAGTGTCACCAGAAACTGTGTCTTTTTTTTAATTTTTATTGAAATATCAGGGAAGAACTTGAATGAAGAAAGACAAGGCTGAGTAAACAGATTGCTGTTGATCTGGAACCATAAGTGATGTAATATGCCTAGACATAAAATCAATATTTAATCGGCGTCGTATTCGGCGACTGGCCCAGTACGACGGCTACCGAATTTCAAAACGTGGGCTGGGAACGCTGAAGGTCTGATTGTGGAAAATTAGTAAGTTTCATAATAAGTCACTTTTTCCCAGTGGCTGCGTCATGCTCCTTTTCTTAATATTCTGTATTCAAGAGACTCCTTATTAGGAACATTCAGTTCACTTTATTTTAGGAGTCGCTCGGATCTGAGCGCAGCATGCGCGACTTAAAAGTTGAGAAACAAGTGTGATTTGCTCATTTTTGTGTTACTGAGAACCAATAGTGATATAAGCTACAATATAACAGTTGAAATATATCCCCACTTTTCTCAAAAGTGTGGTAATAAAGTCACTGGTGATCGTGGTGTTTCTTACTGGTATGTTGACCCAGGCCTGTGTCTGGGCATCGCTGCCGCTCTTTGGGTCCAGCAACAGGCTCAGCAGAGCGTCTTTGATCAGAATGGAAACCGCTCTCAGGATGAACGAAGCAAACAGGTTCATGTGGATGTTGTTCCTCATGCAGTGAAGCTTCCTATCAAGAATTGACCATGTGGGTTATCTCTAGTTTTGTGTTGATCACATTTATCCACTATAGTTTTATTTTTCGTTCCCTACCTGTCTTTCCCTCATTCCCCCTATCAATTTTCTTTAGTCTTCTCTATCGTTATTCTTCACTTCAAAGCTTTCTTCTAGTTTTTGGATTGTCACATTTTAATATCAAGTAACATTATCCTGGGTTAATACAAAACCTGTTTTCAGGTGAAGATTAAACTTAAAAGTCATAAGAAGCATCTTATGACTGGGATATTATTCTGCAAATTACAATTTGACAATGTCAGCATACAGACTCTACATCTTAAGAGAAACTAAGCCCCAAATTAACTTTATTTTGCAGATGAACTGCCTAAATTGATCCTCATCCGAAATGAGTCTTAAGATATTCTTCCTTTACATAATGAGGCAGAAATGCACAGGCTACACATGTGTTTTCTTGACAAAATCGCATGAATAAGGAAAAGAAAATAGCAATATATTTTGATTTCTGCTTTTATTTTTAACTGTGTTAGTTTTGATCCTCCATAAAAACTCTCAAACATGCCACTTTAAGATTATTCAGCAAAAAGGGTAAAACTTTCTCTGCCAGTGATGAAGTGAATTATTTATTTGTAAAGAAATTTATTGACTCAAGGTTTCTTTGCCTGTTTTGAGAAGTCGCTTGGCAATCTTGTTGAACAACAAAAAAGAAAATAGAAGTAATTTGTAGAGAGGAAAGCTATTTTTCACAACAATTTTATTTTTGTTTTTGCCTTTTCATCGTCTTCTGCTGGTTTAATTCTTAAATTGTTTCATTTCCATTTTTAGACATTTATCCTCTTCAATATCTATATCATGTGGTCGTGTTTTTATTATATTTATGTTTCAATTGCTTTCTTATTTCCACGGATTTCTACCTTGGAACTCTGTTTCCCATCTATTTCTTTCATTTTCCATAAATGTATTTTCCCTCTTGTCTTCGTCCCTGCGCCTGTTTCTCTATGTTTTACGCATATCGTACCTGAAGCTGATGAGAATGGCCAAAGCCAGGAGCAGCGCTCCGAGTGACAGGGAGTATCCCACTGTGTACATGATGCGCAGCTTGCTGAGGATGCGGCCATACTGCTGCTGCAAACCCGACTGAAACGCAAACACAGTTACCTTTAAAGCATTCATTCTCCTCACACACACACAAAACGTGAACAGATGGGAAGATTTCTGCTTTTCCGAATTGTGTCAAAATCAAAGAATCACTCAACTATCTGTCACACGCTCAGAGCTAAATATTCAGAAACATTTCACACACCTCGCCGGGATCGTCATCACATTCGCTGGTGTTCTTTTGTCCCCATTTGCCGTCTTCGTTGCAGACCCTGTAGACCAAACCCCGCTGAACTGTTCACAAAGACACAGGATATGTCGCGTGAGGCTGGGTTCAACCGTTCACTCAGTATTCATCTCCACCTGGAAGCCGTGTTTAGCTCACTGTCGTACTGTTGAGAAAATTATGCTTTGTTTTCACATGGAGTGAGTCGTCAGTTCAAACATTGTGGATTTTCAGTAGAATGTATTTACACTCCATATCTCACAGTGGAGTGCGGATTTGTTGCATGACTATTTCTTGTTGACTTATTGATCACAAACGAACCCTCTAAACTAGCGTTTCTCAACGGGGGGCGTTCAGAGGACAGCAGGGGGCGCTGGAGGAGATTTTTACAAAAGAGGGGTGCTGCGATTCGTTTGGGGGGCCGTTTGCTCAAAGGTAAACTTTACACCTTAAATGCACAACAATACCACTTTAGACTTCGAGCGACTTGTTAAACTTCTATTGTGTGACATTAAAACATGCTTGGCTACAACTGTATCGATGGTCGCTCTTCCTCTCTTCAGTGTTTGTAGCTCCTTGGCTGCTGGTAGCTTCACCGCTTCAGTTCAGCGTCACACCGCCTGATGGCGTTGCTGTGATTCACTTGTCTGGTGTTTGATTTTCAAATATTTTACGTTTTATTGAGGGTTTTTCTACATATGTTTTGGCAATGCTGTAATCATGTGAAACCAGCAACTTATATAAAAAAATATAAAAATGACTTATGCTTCAATAGCAATCACATTGCTTTGATAGAGTAAACACATCACACGAGTTCCTCTGACTTGGTGGGAGACCAAGAAGACTCTGACCTTCAGGGTTTAAGCTGTGGTAAAATCCATTTAATTTATCTCTCATCCAACAAATTGCAGGTTTCACTTCATTCATTCATTTCTTTCTTTCACTTAATTAAATTGCAAGGACACAGGAAGAGTTCGTTTTTGGAGTGAATCCTTCTCCTCCATTGAATCAACGACAATGGCTGAGCGCTGCATCCTTGAGGTGATTTTCAAAGAAGCTGATGTCAAATAAGTTCCGACGGCATCAGACTGAAAAGCCTTTTAAATACATTTGAAAAAAGAAAAACAAACTCATCTGTAAGACTCCAAATATTTTATTTCTATTTTGAACAAAAGAAAGACCTTAACCCTCCGCTATGTTGGTTTCTGAGGTACAGCAATAATGCAAAGTAACGTAACAGGAGGGTTAAATGTACGGGTGTTTCGGTGGTGAGGAAAAGTCCTCCTCCTGTGATGTAATGGGCCACTTAACCTTTCCCTTCATGAGTGTTCATGTAAATCGAGATCTTTTCAAAGCTATCATTATGTGCTGAATGTTGGTAATAGTAAAAGGCTTTCAGCTCAACTAAAAAACAAAAAAAAATCCTCTTTAAAGGTCGAAGATGTGCTTCCACAAAGATGCAATTTCTAGTTGCATCTTTGTAAACAAGCACGCCGCCCAGACGCTGACTTTGGCTTATCTTGACATACTGAACTGTTATGAGCGGTGCAGTGATAATGAGAAAAGAGCAGCACTGCACAGTTAGAAATGTTACCCCAGAAAGCGAGTTCAATTTAACAAGCTGCAGCACCAACACAATGTGATAGCAGAGAGAAAATTGTCTTTAGAGTTTAATTTTAATTAACGGAATAAAGTTTGGATCATAATTACATGTCTGGAACTTCAATAATCAGCTTTTTTTTTTTTTTACATTGCAAGAATCTGCACAAAGAGTTGAAAAGAGGCAGAAGGCATGGCAAATAAAATCATCTATTAACAACGTATGTATAGTCTAGAAAAAGTTTTCACCACCTTGGATATTTTCAGCTATTTATTGCTTTCATATATCGATCATGGTGAGTTTTTAGATACTATAAAAATTACACACACACAAAAAAAACGACGTAAAAAATAATGACAATTAAATCAAAATATGTACCATACAATGAGTGATTGCAAAAAATATTCACCCACCTTCCAAGTCAACATTTAGAAGATGCACCTTTGGCAACAATCACAAGTTTTTGTGCAAGATCTGTATGCAGTATGAATTATTCTGGCTCTCTTTTTAGAAATTTAAGATGCTCTTGCACTACCAAATGAAAATAATGGGTTATTTTGCTTATTTTAAACAGTTCAAAAACATCCCCATGTTTTTTTTTCTTTTGTTCTGGACTTTGGTTTGGATAAAAACGTACTGAATGTAGAGAAAACTCATTAAAGCTAAACATGAGAGGAAGACATTCAGGCGATGGATTAGAGTGCATCAGACAAAGCCACGATTCTCTGGATTTTGCTCGATAATCTCCAGTCGGAGGTTAAAATGTTGTCTCAGATTTCCTCGTGTAGAAGAACATTAACACAAGTAGCAGTTGTTCAAATTGACCAAAGCAACAAAGATCACTTTTTAAGCAGCAGCGAAATCTGATTTTGAGAACATTTCAGAAATTATAACTTTTGGTTTAACTGTGTTTAATTAACGGAGGTAGGCGATCCAGCATTAATAAATGTTTTGTTAGGTTTTTTTGTTTGCTTGTTTGTTGTTATTGTTTTTGTTTTTTTGTGTTTTTTACCAAATTATCTGCACCACAATTAGTTGCAGATTAATTGTAGAAATTGTACAAAATTATTCTTTCAGGAAATACTATAAATTCCAATCAATCTAATGCAACTCTTTTTTTTAGGTACAAAGTTACTTGTTCTGGCTGCAGTTGGCATAAATGTTTTTTTAATAAATCCCTAAATATTTGTGTAATTCCTGGTTTGAATGGGAATTTTTTTAACTCTGTGAATACATCTTAAAAGATTTGCCTCAGCTTCTTGTTCCTGAACAAGAAGAAGACTCAAACTCAGATTTGCTCACTTTTAGCACCTGAAAATACCTCTGTTTATGTTTTAGACAATAACTTATAAAGTCGACCACTGTCTGGGAACCTGACTTTAATAACTCATGAATTTCTGTTTCTTCTGACATAGATGCCAGTTTCTCAACTGCAACCACTGAAAATTATAACAATGCAGTTTCTCTTGGTGGCAGCAAGGTTTTTCTTAAAAAAAAAGAAACAACTCATTCTTATACAAGTGCCAACATTTCTGTTCTTGCTATGTTGTGCAGTTTTACTCCTTTTTTTTTCTTTTAACGGTCTCACTGACCTTTTCGATGCCATGGCAGGAACGTTGGGCAGGAGACATTTACTGTGGTGCCTGGACGTCCATCAGGCCAGCAGGCATACAAATCAAAGGTTCTGTTACACACCAACCCTGCAACGCACACCCAGATAACAACACATAATTGTTGCTTTGGATGGATGTAAGTCGGACATAAAATTTTCCTTCATGAAGTTCAGTCGCTCACCTGTGGCAGGGGGCGTGGAATTGATCTGGCTTGTGCAATTGTCCTTGTAGTTGCTCCACTTCTCCTTCACAAGCTCCAGAGAGTTAGCAACGGACCCCTGCAACGGAGAGGCTTCGTGAGACTTCAGCAACACAACAGCAGCCCACTTCCCCCCGGCGTCTCAGTCCCACTCAGGAGGAACCCAAGGATGAGTGGATTAGGGAGGGATTAAAGTTGTGTTTAATTTTATGTGTGAAAGACAAGGAGGGTATTAGTAACACTGTACCTTAGTGCAGCTGGAGAGCGTAAGCAAGGCCAAGAGGAGACACACCTGGGACATCCCACCGCTGCTGGGAAGATGGGGGTCGGTGGGGACCAGAAGAGAAAGGAATCCCACATGAGGCAGGCCCGGCCCTATTTCACCCCACGGCCTGTACACACACACACACACACACACACAACACACATACACGCATACACACACGTACAAAAAGATCAAATAAAACAGAGAGGATTTATTTTCTGAGAGTGTGGTGGAGGTGGTTGGAGCCAGACGTTTGCAGCATAACATTTCGCCACATTAGTGTCAAACACACGGTGTTCTGTGTCGGCCTTTAGGAAAATAAAGATGCCCGTGAGCAAAATTTACACCCCAATTCATTTCAGTTCACCGCACAGCTTTTCAGAGAATGAGCGATCCATAATGTGACGCAGCTCTGTCACTAATGGTCTACAGTACATACACAGGAGCTCTCGTCAATACTTCAAAACAGTTTTTAAAAACATCAGCTCATGCCGTGCAACGATTGGTTCATCATAACAGACACTTTGCAGTGCAGAGAAGAAGCATTTTCAAAAAATGTATGCATATTTTGTTGCATCACAGCCACATAACTCTTAATACTTTATTTCGATATCATGTGATAGATCAACACAAAGCAGTGCATGTCTGTGAAGTGGAAGGAAGTTGAAGAATGGTTTTTAAATTGTTCCACAAATACATCCCTGCTTATGGCAAACATGGCAACAATATTTTAGTAAACGTAAATTATTTAACTTACATTTTTTGCTACATTATAAACAGATGAGATTTTCTTTTAAAAATATATCACTAAAAATACATGATTTAAAGAGTCAGTATTTTTGTATTATCGTTTATTTTCTCTTTAACTTCATAATTAAAACTGATTTTATACTTTTATCGTCTTCGAAATAAACAAACTTTCTAAGGCCCCAGCAGTGCCGCGTAGCGGACCACAGGTGGCAGCGGCCTCCACTTTGAAAAACAAATCGTTAGAGAACATTAGCGAACAAATAGCATCATGGAGGAGTACAGCAGACAGACAGGTCAGTGAGACTGATTTGGAGAAGCCGGGTTAGGTTATAAAACAGCATCCCGATCTTTAAAACTCTCAAGAAATACTTTCCCTGAACACACCAGAAACACGGCAGTGGCAGCATAATGCTGAGCAGTTTCTTTTCTTTGGCGGGAACTGGGAAACTGCAAGAAAAGAGTTTTCCCAAATGTGATGTGAAAACCTCACATCACATTTGAGGTTTCCACATTATCGATTCACATAATAGATTCACATAACACAAACACTTTTGCAAGGCATTCTCCTTGATTCATGTTTGCTTTATTTATTTATTTTTTTTTCCAGGCTGTGACACCGGTCGACCGTCTTTGCCCACGCAGTTGGAGAACAAAACGAAATCTGAAACGTTTCTGCAAAAAACACCTTGAGCATGGAAACATTTTTGGCTAAAACGTTTCAAATTCCATTCTGTTCCAGTCGATTTTTGCTTCAGACGCAAGAGGATCCCATGTGGTGCCGAGTCCGGGCTTCTCACAGGAATCTGAGCAAAACATCAACAGCCTGTCACGCTGTACAGATTAGAGCATTGCTTTTATTTTATCTTTTAAAAAAGGACCACAGAACAAACAATGAAACAAATTGCTGGGATTTAATGCTGCAGTTGTAATCCTCTTTTTCTATGAACACATTGGATTCCTATTAAGTGAACAGCAAACGAGCGCAGAGTAGGAACATAAGTTGTTTTGGGGCTAAATACAACAAAATCAAAGGGATTAGAAATATTCCGAGAAATGTATTTGCTTTTAAAAAAAAATCCGACAATAAATTTGAATCTTTGGGAGGTTCTTAAAATGTATGCAACGATTTAGTCACTAATTTGTTTCCATCCAGCATTCCTAAAAATAAAAAATAAATCATTTATGTATGTCAAATCCATCACTGGATTACCTTTCCCATATTTTTAGAACTTTACATGCTGGACAAGAGGGTTTAGGAGGATTACGAAAGATAAGCTTCAAAATATGACAGGTTTGAAAGGCAAACTAAACATTGTTGGTTTTGCTCTTTCCATAGATTTGTTCGCAACAGCAAAAATAATAATAATAATAATCTGTTCTCATCCGTTAAGCTGCAGCGGTTGAGATTATGAGCCATGCCTGGGACTCCCTCTGCTTTGCTGATGGTGCTCCTCACAGTGGACTGAATATTTCTTTTGAAATGGAAATACTTGAATATGAACTACTATTGTAAATACAGCAGTGCTTCAAATTGAGCCACTTTTGTTCATTTGTGTCTGAAAGAGATGAAAGAAACATGACAATAACACTAATTGCGGTACTTACTATCACATTGCTAGCGTTTTGTTAAACTCTTCTCTCTATGAATTATTTTTTCCCTCAATGTCCTGAAGATCTCTGCAGGTTTCAGGAAAAAAATGGAGGGAGTGTAAGAACAACTTGAAATAATTTGTATAATAGTTGAAAACATATTATACAAATTATAATATGTATGATATATATATAATGTTCATTATGTGAGAAAGGATAAAAGACATACATATGCCTCTTGAAAATACAAACATTTCTGTTTTGCTCTTAGGTACTGTAATAATAATAATAATAATAATAATAATAATAATAATAATAATAAATAAGTTTTTTGAATTATTTTAATAAAATCAATATTTTTTATTATTATTATATTGAAGAAAATGTAAAACCTTAATTAAATACTGTTAATTAAGGTTTTTAACAACCTTAACTTTTAAATATGCCTTAAAAAGTGAAGATAATGTATTACGGATTTAATCACAATTTTGTATTGCAGTGGATTGACCAGTTTGGATATTTTTCTGTGGAATATAATTCTTATTGATGAACACATTACCTATTTGCACATACTTTAGTGTTTGAAGGACAATAAATCTTGAGAAGCCACATTTCGTCGACTCAATGCTATTGGCTGTTGTTTGCAACTGAGCCAGTCCATAAGTGGCATTTGTTTTCATTGCTGCTGTTTCCCAGAGCATGGAAGTAAGGACGAGCGCCGGCGTTAGCTTCTGCAGACACATTGCAGCAGTGGTGGAGCTAGACTTTTTTTTCAAGGGGCGGCCAAAGGGTGAGCAAGGCTTTATCAGAGGGGTCAATATACAAATTATGAGCAAAAAGAAGCAAATATTTTCTCACACACACTCAAATTAAAATGGTGTATTTAACAAAGATTTGCCATGACCAAACAAGATGTTAAACGGCACTATGGAACAGTGAACATGTAAATGTAAACTCAGAGCCCAGAATATGACCAAAAACAAATTCTCAAAAATAAATAAATAAAACTGGCTCCAAATCCTCAGGAAATCCAAATTCCTTGCAGGGTTTAGTAACTCAGGTGTTCAACTAAGTGTTTGTTGAAGACAAACACTTCAACAAACACATGGATCAAAGAAGACGTGTTCCACTAGCCGTGGACCTCAGAAGACGTAACCTCTTTACCAGTTTTACAACTCAGGTGATCTACCTGTGCGCATGTGGGTCACCAGAAGAGGGTTTTTTTGCCTCTGGATCCGGTGACTTCGGAAACCTGAATCCAAGGACTCAGCGTGTTGGGGCCAGAAATCCAGCTGCATGCCAAGCTGGGGCCAGAGATCCTCCTGGACCAGGGCTAGGCAACTCCAGGCCTCGAGAGCCGGTCTCCTGCAACTTTTAGATGTCTCCCTGGTCCAACACAGCTGATTCAAATAGCTGAACCACCTCCTAAATGCACTCAAGTTCTCCAGAGTTCTGCTAATGACCCCATTATTTGACTCAGGTGTGTTGAAGTGAAAACACATCTAAGTTGCAGGAGACCGGCTCTTGAGGCCTGGAGTTGCCTACCCCTGTCCTGGACAATCTGTAGTGGATGTTGTGGCTCCTTGGCTGCTGTACACAGATTCCCCAATTGAGGCTCCAATTTATTCTTTCCCTATTGTTCAATTCATGATTTCAGTGGGTGACAGACAACAAGCACTCTTCAACCAGGTATCGTCTCCACCTGCTGCAGGTCCTTGGTTCTTAAAATGGGTCCCAGTATCAGATCTTATTGTATTTATTTATTTGTTATCATTTAATCAGCATATACTTCTATAATTAATCAACTAATTATTGTCCTGTTTAGGTAAAATAAAAATGATTTCCCTAAATATCAAGATAACTTATTTTATTATTTGCAAAGCTTTAAATATACCCAAAAGTTAAAAAATGTCAGTGAAGCTAATTGACAGTAAAACAATTGTTCTTTTGAAAACCCATCTGTAGAATATGTATTTAATTTAACAATATATTGTCTTCTTTTCCTTCTGCAGTGTTTGTCATATTCGACATTAAGCTTTGGCAAAAACTTGATTAGAATAAATTTATTAGGTGAGGAAAAATATTTAGTGTAGACCTTCCTGAATGACCTTTTACAACATATTGTTATTTTGAACCGAAGCAGCTGAGGCGCAGCAGTCGAGCGATCAACTCACACCAAATTCATGCTGTTACACGAGACGCACTGCTCTCTTTTTTAAGTCATACTCAAAATTTTAATAATTATAATATTGAAAATTATATTTTTTCTTCAATAGCTTGAAAGTCATGTTCCCTATTGACTCAAAGTCAGTGTGAAACAATTCTTCTGCAGAGAGGAGGTACCTTCTTCTTCATTGCATTTGAAGCTTTCTGATATTATTTTAATTGTATTTTTGTCATAATTTAGAGGATGCATTTCAAAATAACGCAACACTTTTAATGCAGCTTTGCATTAAAGTGTCATTTACCGACTGACACTTCACGACAACAGTGGTAAACATTCATAAAGTCTTCTCCATGTTCATGACAGATGTTATGTCATGTTTATATGTCATGTCAGTCTTATGCACAGCTTGTCAAATAAATGTTATTGATAGACCGATCTTTTTAGATCGATCAGATAAAAATCTAGATAAAAAGATATCCATCTACCAAGAGATCTATGAAGAGCAATCTAGCTATAGATCTATATCTATCATCTATCTTTCTAGATAGATATTGATCTATCTAGATATATGTATAGATAGATCTAGATGATGTATCTATCCAGATAGATCTAGCTATAGGTCAAGAGATAGTTATCTATCCATCTGATCTATAGATAGATCTGGATAGCTCTATCTAGCTAACTAGATAGATCTATTAAGGTAGATCTATCTATCTATTTAAATATAGATATATCTATATACAGATATATCAAAAGATACATCTATAGATAGATCTATAGATGTATAAACATCTATATCTATATATCTATATCTATATAGATAGATCTATAGATGTATAAACATCTATAGATCTATCTATATAGATATAGATATATATAGATTTCTATCTATACCTAGATAGAAATCTATTTATCTTTCTGTCTGTCTGTCTATCGTTTTTTTAGGGAAACCGGAGTACCCGGAGAAAACCTTCATTTAAAGTATGATTACTTAATTTTACTAATAAAGAAAATTATAGACAATCTATCTGTCTATCTATAGACAGATAGATACATATATATAGATATATTGATCTATCTATACCTAGATAGAAATCTATTTAACTTTCTGTCTGTCTGTCTATCGTTTTTTTAGGGAAACCGGAGTACCCGGAGAAAACCTTCATTTAAAGTATGATTACTTAATTTTACTATTAAAGAAAATTATAGACAATATCTATCTGTCTATCTATAGACAGATAAATACATATATATAGATATATTGATCTATCTATACCTAGATAGAAATCTATTTAACTTTCTGTCTGTCTGTCTATCATTTTTTTAGGGAAACCGGAGTACCCGGAGAAAACCTTCATTTAAAGTATGATTACTTAATTTTACTAATAAAGAAAATTATAGACAATATCTATCTGTCTATCTATAGACAGATAGATACATATATAGATATATTGATCTATCTATACCTAGATAGAAATCTATTTAACTTTCTGTCTGTCTGTCTATCGTTTTTTTAGGGAAACCGGAGTACCCGGAGAACCTTCATTTAAAGTATGATTACTTAATTTTACTATTAAAGAAATTATAGACAATATCTATCTGTCTATCTATAGACAGATAAATACATATATATAGATATATTGATCTATCTATACCTAGATAGAAATCTATTTAACTTTCTGTCTGTCTGTCTATCGTTTTTTTAGGGAAACCGGAGTACCCGGAGAAAACCTTCATTTAAAGTATGATTACTTAATTTTACTAATAAAGAAAATTATAGACAATATCTATCTGTCTATCTATAGACAGATAGATACATATATATAGATATATTGATCTATCTATACCTAGATAGAAATCTATTTAACTTTCTGTCTGTCTGTCTATCGTTTTTTTAGGGAAACCGGAGTACCCGGAGAAAACCTTCATTTAAAGTATGATTACTTAATTTTACTATTAAAGAGAATTATAGACAATATATGTCTGTCTATAGACAGATAGATGCATATATATAGATAGATATATATTGATCTATCGATCTGTCTGTCTTGACTATCCACCATTTTTGTAGGGAAACCGGAGCGCCCAGAGAAAACCTTTATTTAAAGTACGATTACTTAATTGTAGTAATAAAGAAAATTACAGACAATATCTATCTACCCATCTATGTACCTGTGTTATTTTTGTAGGGAAACTGGAGCACCCAGCGAAAACCTATTATAATTACTTAAATTTGCTAATATATGTCTAACATAGCTGACGAACAATCTCACAAAGATGTTAGTTCAAAGTTGAACCACTTGGGTCGCACTCCTTGGCCAGCTGAGAAACATCATTCAGTCGATTCTGGGCTAGATGGCAATTTTACCCCCTTACTACTCTGGGAAATCGTCACGGAAGCGCACAGTCTTGGATTTCAGTGAGGGACGCTTGACAGGCTTGGTACTGCTAACTTTCTCATCACCGAGTGAAGGACTGCTGGATTTTGCGTCGCCCTGGTTGTCAACAGGATGACCTTGATGTCTAAAAGTAGGAAGCCCAAGAAAGTCTTGAGGATTTTGCCCAAATATCTGCGAGTACAAGGCATGTGATGTTTGTGAGTAGGATGCTTGTGATGTTTGTCTGTAGGATGTCCATGATGTTTGTCTGTAGGATGTCCATGATGTTTGTCTGTAGGATGTCCATGATGTTTGTCTGTAGGATGTCCATGATGTTTGTCTGTAGGATGTCCATGATGTTTGTCTGTAGGATGTCCATGATGTTTGTCTGTAGGATGCCTGTGATGTTTGTGAGTAGAATGTCCATGATGTTTTCTGTCGGATGTCCATCATGTTTCTCAAGAGATAACACGTCAAGTTTGTCATTTGATCGCATCTCTTCTAGCTCAGGAAAAAAGGCGTCAGGTTTTTGATAAGAATGCAGATAAGGTTTGTAACCAAAATGCACATCATGTTTGTGGCCAGCATGAACATCCGGTTTGTCAGGAGAATGCACCGTTCTTCTTTCCACAAGGGACGTGGACCCACTTCTCTCTGGTGCTGCTGCTGGCAGAGTCTCCTGAACTTTGTGATAAACTGGTTTTTTCTGAACAACATTTTTACTGTCCTCTGGAGATGGGACCAGTTCAGGAAACCTGCTCTCACTCTTGTGTTGTACAAACACCGACGTGGACTGGAAGCCTTCCTTTGGGCCACCAACACTGTGAAATATCTCTCTCTGTCTTATAATTTCCTCCCTAATGACTGGTTTAGTCTTCTTCTGGGTGCTGAATCTCTGCTGCTTCTCCTTCTTTTTCTCAATTTCTTCCAACCTATGAAGCCGGTCCGATTCCATCAAGGAATGTAACTCCTGCTTTTTCATCTTCTCCATTTCTATCTTCTTCTGCCGTTTGTATTCAACTTGACCATCCCAAGCAGCAGTCAAAGATTTTTGCATTTCAGCTTTCTTTTTTCTCTCCTGTTCATCAAGGAACCTTTGGGGAATCCTCTGCGGAGCCATGTCCTTGTAAAACTTTTGTCCCTCCAAAGCATCTTTGGCAGATCTGAAGTTGTGTTTTTTCACAACTTCAGATCTGGGCAAATCAAAAACTTCTCGTTTGGTCTTTTTAAGCGTCTCTGGTAGTTTATCCTTCTGTCTTGTTTCTTCAATGATTTTCTTCCTCTGTTCTTCTCTCCAAATGATCAATTCTTTTTCATAAATAAATTGTTTTCCAGTCCTCTTCTTCAGTTCCTCTCCTTTTTTAACTAAGGCTTCCAGTTTATTTTTATAATCAATTTTTCTCCTGAGTTCTTGGTCCAGTTCAATCGCTGTCTCAATATCGATTCCCTCTTCTGAAATGGAGCTGGAAGTGGAGTAGGAGCTTTTGCTCGAATCAGAGTCGGAGGTGGAGGAGGAGTCAGCTGTTTCAGGCTTTTTCTCTTTTGGCTTCTTCTTTTTGGCTTCTTTTTTCTTTCGTTGTTCTTCCTCTTTCTTCAGTCGTTCTTCCTGTTTCCTTTGTTGTTCTAAATATTTTGGAAGTGTTGGCAACCTTTCTAATAAAGTGCCCAAATAATTATCTTTCCCTACAAATTGGGAATGTTGGTTCAGATTAGGTCTTCCGTTTTTTGTTGTAATAAAAGGCAGAAGCCTATTTGTTAACTCGTGCGTTTCTTTTTCTAACTTTTTAGCCATCATGATGAAACTCTATCAATCTCTGGGGTTCTGCACATATGACTCTAGAACACACGCGACACTATGTAAGAGGCTTCAGAGGTGATGTCATAGAACCTTTGACACAAAGCATGGGATCCTAGTGACATCATCAGTTAGGTAGAGGTGTAACATTAGTTGCTATTGCTGTGGTAACCAGGAAAAGCTCTGAAGTGATTCATGCTTTCTAGTGAAGGAGATGTTTCAAACCATCAAACATTTCCAAACAAATTCATTCATATTAAGACAAATATACATTTTTCCAACAATTTAGACTAGCTTCAGCCAATGTGGCTGCAATTGATAAAGGCTTAACAATGTGCAAAACACAATCACCCAGTTTCCCATTAAATCTGCTCAACAGTGTTTTCCTCATCAAAAGACGTTTTTGATGAGGAAAAGTGTTTGATGAACTCAGGTTAAACTGTGGCTGTTTCTCAGCCAGACATTCAGGATGTAGGCTGCTACTGCAACGGGCTGCCTT